TTTCTTTGCTGGACTGTGAGTTCAATTATGTAGCTACATTAATAAAAACTGAAACTAGTAAAAATGCTTTTAAGTATAAGCATTATACCGTATCAAGTCTGAATTGATATTTTTATGAATGAAATATTCAAGTGGAAGCAGAATAGTATGTTCTTCGAAATTTTGTTATCTACCTTTCAATAACCCCATTTTAAGATTATTTTTCAGTCTACAGTTTTCAAAGGCCCCTAAGGCATCTAGGAAGCTTTATCATAAGTGAATTGTTTCAGTACACAAATATTCACTGCAATCTTTTTACAGTCTTTTAAATTTGTATTTATTGTATTTTTATTTTGGAATTCATGTTTTCTATTTTTATCTTGGCTTTTAATTTTCTTAAATTTAAAATGAGGTTTTTGAGATCAATTAATTTTGAAACAGTCTGTAAACACATAACCATGTTTAATTGCTTTGCTGAAGCAAAATTCCACTGGGTAAAACTTTTATTCTTCTATGATACTTGTCAAGTGTATTATATGTAATTATTATTTTTTCGTTTGGACTTTGTTTTCCTGGCAACTATTTATCTGGGAATTCTTAACATAATTTTCCAGCAACTTATGTAAACCCACAGCCACTAGTACTGAATATATTTCATGTTAATTTGAATTTATCTTGGCATCTTTTAATACCATTCAGTGCACTGGCATCAAATATTGAATGACTTAACTTAGAGTGTCCTCCAAATTTTGTTGCTTTTCAGTGGAAATCCCCTGCAAGCTATGTCTAACTTTTGAGACATTACAAAAATGATCAGAAGATTTTGCAGATGTTTAATATCATGCATATTACAACATATGTTAACAGACATCTGATGTTAAGGCCTGTCAGACGTGTGGAAATATAGAGTTGAAGACAAAATCTGTATTTATTTGGAAAAGCATGTATCATGTCTTGGTACAAAAAAGTTCAGAACCCATTTCATTTCATTTAGTCTTTCAGTTCCCTGAGCAAGGCACAAGAAAGCATTCCCTTCAGAAGTTTCTTTTGCAAAAGCCCTACTAAAACAGCTAATAAATAGGATTTTGAGGTCAAAATGCAGTAGAAGATTCAGGCCTACAGGCTTCAGCACAGTGCAGGAAGGGTATCTGGACCATCGGACATGATGCAGGGCAGCCTGCATGCCGAGTCAGCAGCCACCGTGGTTGTTTTGATATAGTCACTGGATACATTAGAACTGTATGCTATACATTCTAAAATATTTCTGTAAGCAGTAACTGGACCCCAGGCTTCCCTGGCCTCTTTGGTAAATGGCTGCCTGGTCCACCCCACTGAGAGGCACCTTCTTTGGCTTTTGGGGTCACCTAGCCCCATGACACAAGGGTCTGCCTGGGATTCACCTGTCTAAAATAGGCATATAATTTAGACGTGACTCATAAAACCAGGAGTCTGCATTCCCTTTATGGCAAACAGAATAGGTGCTTTTAAGGATTTCTGAGCCATTAAGCCTAAAATAGCCTAGAGAGGTGATGTACATTCTTGTCCTTACACACATTTACGTATGTGTGCACACAGTGAATACAAAAGATGAACTTTGCAGCACCTAAGTCTTTTCTTTGCAGTAAGATCTTTCTGGACTCTGAGGGTTTTTTTTATATAACATCTGCAAAAACTGCCTCTCAAAAGTTTTTATTGCATCTATTAAAACCTGGTAACACCAGGACTGGGATGAATGCCCCTCATTTACCACACAGCAATAATATATGTTATGCAGCACCTGCTCTCAAAGGTGCTTCTGTATTTTATCCAAAACTTCTTTAAACCATAAAGCATTCCAGCCCCCATAGAAAACACAAGCAGATATGCTGATATATGCGTATACAGGAATATCACTATCATGACAAACCTTCAAATAAATTACCTGAATCTGAAGTGGAAAGAAGGCAGTATTAGCTTTACTGCTATTGTTTCTCAGATTGAGCATCTAAGACCATGTCTCAGAAACAACGTCTCAGACTATGTCTAACCTACGGGATCCAGAAGCACTTCCCAGCCTCCAAGCCTCAGTGTATGCCTGCCATGCTCTGATGTGAAGTCAAATGCATAGGACAGATCCTTCCTTTTATACCACCAGGGAGGGGTAGCAGCTGTCTTCTGCCTCCATTGGAAGAAATCTAAGCACGCAGGCCAAAAGCAAGCTACTGGTGGGGTCCCCATTCTGGAGACCTGAAGATTCAGGATGCCAGGCCGTGCCAGGAGACCTGCCTCACAGTGCAAGTGTAAACTTAGGCTCTTTAGACTCAATAAAGCCCTGTAATCCACTCCTGATGGGTCTTGGCACAAGTGATCCTTGAACTGCTCAGGCTGGGCTAGTTTTTGACACACCCAGAGAGAGAACTGGAAGCAGCCAAGGAAAGCCACAAGTGGATATTTAGTGAGCTGAAGGGAGGGAAGTCAAACTGTAATTTTGTACTGCTCTTGGCAGCCAAGTCCCCTCCTGAATCTTGTCCATAGTCTCCAAAATGTGTTTAATTTACCTTTTATGCAAGAGGTGGTGGAATGTGGAGGAGGGATGTTGGTTCTGCACCCTTGGACACCAGCACATGCACCACAGTAGAGGAGCTGTACAGATGCTCCTCCAAGTCCATGAACTGGATTCTCACATAACTGGATGGTATTGCAACACTGTGAACCCCTCTATTGCTGCCATGCTGCTGTCTGTCAGGTGAGAAGTTCATCTAGCTATATATATTATGGCTCTGACAACAGCCTCAGTGGGTGAATGTAATAAAAATGACACCCTAATCTACCCTCCTATCTTCCACTGAGTAGCAGTTCAGAGGCTTAGTGAGCTGTGAGTCACCACTGGTCCAGCTAATATCCATTATTTCTACTTTAAGTCTTGCAAGGACTCAACAAGTTCCACAACCAATTCTGCACTTTATGAAAGTGGATTCATTTCTTGTTTATTATTTTGTATCTTTCTCCTGGAAAAGATGAAGAACTATTACTGCTAATGCAAAATAATCAGTCTTGGCACCAGACCACTCAGATGCCAGGCTTGAGGGTCTGATAAAAACCTTAGCGAAACCAACAGGAATCTTTCCAGAGTAGCTTTACCTAAAGTCTGAAGGTACAGACACACTGCACTCCTAGAATCCCATAGGCACATAATCCTATTCAGTGCTTTACTAAAGAATGATTAGCAAAAAGGTCTACAAAATCTACTTATTTCACAATAGTAAACTGCTTCCAGTGCATTCCCAGATGTAAAATTCCCCCTACATTCCCAATGCAGGAGCCAAACTCTTCGACTTCTCTCTTTGACAATTTCCACTGTGCACAGAGGGACACATGATTACAAAAATCTGTGGTGGCTTAACCGAATATGAAAGTAGAACAAAGATAAAATAACATGAAGTATTAACTACTAATTCAGGGAAAATCTAGCACTGTGATAAATGGTGCCTAATCATGAATGTGTTTAAGTCATTTTAAGTCACTAAAATATAATGCCTGGGGCATAGAGAGGCAAAATAAGGAGGGCTGAAGAAAGATCAGTGCTGCAAGGCCATTTAACTCAATATACTCCCATTATCACAGTTAGCAAAAGTAAACAGCAGTTGTTTCTAAATATCTCATTTTTTATACTGCCTATTCGAATACTTGCTATACTGCTCAAAAACTTAGCCCCTGGAGGCACAGGATTACATCAACTTCTCAGTTGTCATTTTCTTCTCCCCCTAAAGTAGGCTTTAAAATTGAAAACTTGAAGCAAGCTCACTCAAAACCCTCACAAGCCAGGAGACAAACCAACCCACTCGTTTTTTTTATGCCATGACTTTCAGAAAATCTCCCGAGTATTTTTGTTTTCTGGGTTTAATTATAGGAGTCAGAAATACTGGAACAGAGGCTGTGTCAATGACCGACCTTATGAGTCAAATTAACAAGCAGTAAATTATTCACAACAGATGTAGCTCTACATAAACAGAAACGTACAGGAGGAATAAAATACCTGCAAGAAGACCATCAGAATGAGCTCTTTCAGGAAGGCAGAAAGCAAGCACTGCAGTGATGTTTCTGGATCCTGCATTTCCAGTGCTAACTACAACTAGGAAACAAGGCATTCCTCCAGTGGAGCAGGTTTACTGAGAAGCTCTAGACAGCTGCTCTAACTTGCAGGAAGGCAGTCAATCTGCTGCAATTCTACAGCCTCTGCTGAGCCAAATTAAGCTCAGATATGAAAGAGAATCAGGTTCATGGGAATCGTGCCTTGTAAAACTTTAAATTCTAGCTCCTGTAAACCTACCTGCCATTCTTCTCTGAATCCTCTCCCTTTATTTGGCTAGTTAAGTGTTCCTAACACACCTCTTAGATTTGCTAAAAAAAAACTCAGAGAAAGAAACTTGGTAGCAATTCTTCCTTACATACCATCTCAGTTTTATTTTACACATTAATGTATGTTATTATCAGCTCAGGAATAGCCAGGGCTACATGTGAATTAACATATATTGACATGAACACCACAACCTAGGAAAAATAAAACATAATTCAGATGCAGTGATTTTGTTTGACTTACCTTGCTATTATAATCCTGACCACTGTAGTTATAAGGAATGCATAGTACCACACGTTTGCAAGCACACTGTGGTTTCTAATCCTAAAGATTGATATGGAAAAAGCACAGGTTTGTAAATACTGTGGGAGAGACACACAAAAATGTATGCCCTGTCCCACCGACCCTGCATAGATGCAGAGTATCTCATTCTTATTCATGACTTGAACACCTGCATGGGGAAAGGGCTCAGAAAGATGTATACTACAAAAGGAAAATGTTCTGACACAAAGTTAAGGGGCTATGGATGGCTCTCAATGGGATATTGGCACTAATCCCAGTCTCGTTTCTCTGTTCAAACAGCAAATTAATTGGCACATGCACCTCACTGAGGATGTTTATGGCATACTTTGCAGACATGCACAGCCAAAGAGGTCAAGTTTTAAACCTGTAAATTACTCACACATTTTACATTTTAAATAAACCTGTAGATTTATTGTACAATAGTACAGCATGTGCCTTTTTAACCAAAAGCTCAGCATCACACAACACTTTAATCTTCCATTTAATCATACACAGTCCTACAACACAGCTCAGTTCAGCTAGGAAAGCTACATAATGAATTAATTTGTTGAGAGTCCTGGCTATGCTGTTCTTAAGGAGGTTTACCTACAGCAAGAACAGTGGCAGTGGTTCTGGTGTTGTAACATTTAATCACTTTAACCTGTTCTCAGCACAGTAATAGCAAGCAGTCATCTAGAGCAAAACGAAGAGCTCATTTAAGGGACATCACATTTAATTGCAAATTCATGAAACAATAGACCAGAGGATCTCACACACATAATACAAGTATGGATTAAAAATCTGTTACAAGATCATTTTGATGTAATGTCTGCAATAACTATGCCACACAATCCACCACACAGGAAGACTGGATGCATGACAGGCATCACACCATGTATTAATATCATTTGGATTTAAATTGTTAGGTTTGGAAGGGGCAGAGCAGTGTGTTCTATACAAATACACACTTGCCTTATTACAGAAACACTCCTGTAGCCATTTGCCCACATGCCAGCAGTCTCTTGTTATAATTAATTTTTCATACTGTTTGCTTCTATGTTACCTGGTTCAGCTGAAAACAGTATCATTACTTCCAGACACAGGGTGTATTCTGTGCTATGTGTCTTAGCAGTTCAAATTGTCATGAACACCTGATTTGGTGTGTAACCGGGCATCCTTTAAGCATACTCTCGTGCACAGCTAGCCACAAGTTGCTATCAAGACATGTTCAGATATGATTCCTTGTTTGACACAGGAGTTCCTCATCACAATGGAGATTCAAAGTTCATCATTGCATAATGACTTACAGCAAGTGAAGTTCCCCTGAAGTTTGGAACTAAATATCTATGACTCCAATGAGCTACAAGTTACATAACAAAGCCTTAATCAGAGAGAGAAAGCTCACGACTTTTTATTGCTGTTCAGTTTATCAATGTGTCAAACCTTAAGCCTGTTACTTTAAAAGATCAAGAGCTATTTTTACTAAAGAATTTCAGATTCCCAGAAAACAGCATTTTCGGTAGATTTCTAAATACCCAAAGGAGGTAAATTTGGATCCTACACTTGAACATGTGATTTTTCATTTACGGTCGGAGAATGGTAAGTCATGGTGGGTTGATTCTGAATGGTACTGAACTCCTATAGCATCAGCTACAATAATGTTAATCAAAACACAGACAGTGATAAGAAAGAAACAGAGGAAAGAAATCTATATCAAACATCTGATCTTGAATTAAAATAGACAATCTATATTGTGTAAGATTTCAAACAGATGAGATGCTTAGCTACTATCAAGTAAGCATACCAGCAGTAGTTTAAGAAGAATTTCCCCAAACATGCACCCACTATGGTTCATGCATATTCTCTGACTCTTTAAATTTCACTCAGACAAAATACTAAAGCAAGTTAATTCAAGTATACTAACAAAAAACACGAGAAGGAACTTTTTATATCAAAGTTGCTTTTTGTATCATCCTCAAGTATTTTGGGAAAATTTCACTGCTCTGAAAAAAAAAATAATCACTTATCTTGCTTTTAGTTTTAGATAAGAGTAACCAGTAGAAGAAACAAAGTTGGAAACAAAACCATTCTTGGCTTATGAGACTAAATGCATGTCCTCAGTAGACTTCCAGTTTATTGTTTAAACTGTGATGTTTTGGTAGCTTTCAGTGAACATATGAACTTCTGACTGATTATCTAAACACTGCTGACACATGTAGATTGTTGGAAAGGCAGTTTTAAGACAGACATCACCTAAACCGCCTTTTTTTTTCTTGCTGTAAAGCAAACACAAGCAGCATATTAACAAGATGCACAAGCTCTTCTTTGCCCATTCAGAATTTTTAATTTGCTTAATAAGTAATAAGAAATAATTAAAACCTGATCTTGAAATATCATTAACAGTTTAAGGAATAAAGCTCTGCTATTTCCTGAATTCACTCCATGGCATCTTTAATAAAAGAGCTTACACAGATTCCTTCTGCTTACTAAAATGAAGTCAGCTTATGCTTCTTACATATTTAAATAGCCCAAACACCAGAGACATACTAAATGTTATACTGAATTTTAATCCTTGTAAATATTATTACACCACACACTGTTATTATAAATCTTTTCATTAACATCCATTATAGAACTCAGTAAAGAGCTCTGTCTACTACTATGCACTGTCAAGTATTTCTGGCAGTATTGGGAATTGACTACAGCATATTTCTGTTTTAAAATCAAGATTTAACCTACATATTCTGAATTTGCAAATAATACACAACAGATTGTACTTCCATATAGGCTGCAGAGACATTCACTCATTTTTTTCTGATTTGTATACAAGAGTAAATTTTCTATAACAATATGAAAGAAAATTAATAACTTATTTATCTAGCTAGGAGGCTAGTAGTTATTTGTAATCATATTAATCAAAAGATGACTGAAAAATTCAAAGTTAATTGTTGTGAAGTGCACAAAACCTAGAATATAGGGACTTTCCACAGTACATTATACTAAGTCAACATATAATAGATTAAACGCTCTAAAGTTAAAATTATAATTTAAAAATTTAGTGTTTCTGACATCATCTTCCACCATTCCATCAACTCTTCTTTCTCCTCTTCTTTTCTTTCAGATAATGACTCCAGTTCAAAATCAACCTGAGTAAGAGAAACAATCAAAAACATCAGTAAGACTTGTAGAAAGAGATGAAAACCTCAACATCTCTTTTTATGTTGCGCTATTTAAAGATATTCTGTAATCTTCTATCTGATTGGCTATTCACACATAAACCAATAGAAAAAGTTTAAGTATCTCAATATTACCCTTTCCTGTGTCTTTTAATTTTAAAAAAGACCAGCAGGAGATGAAGTGAGTTTACAATGAGATTACTCTCAGAGGCTTGTGCAGCAAGTACTAGGAGAGTAGATTTCCAGACTGTCTTCTAAATTAGCATATTCTGAAATATTCTGAAAAATCACCTCCTGTTCACATATATATCATGAAGGAAAAAAAGACTTTTTTTTTTATATATAATAGACAATAAACCAACACACATGTGAGTACGTACCACAACTGCAGGGCTAAAGGGCACAGCCACTTTTTTAGTTATTGCTAGATAGCCTGGTGCTGAGGCTGTAAGTTTGTAATTTCCAGGCACAAGCAATCTCCAGTAATCACCATCCTTGGCTGTAGAGAAGCAGAAAAAAATCCAAATAAATATCTATAAAACTAAATACACAGCTAAGGAGAAGGGACCATATATCTTGTCAGAGCCTTTCGTATTCCTATTAGCTTTCCTTTTGCCTGTCTGAAAGGACTCTTCTGTAAGGGTTGTGTGTATGTATATCTATCTATCTATCTCTATCTCTATCTCTATCTCTATCTCTATCTCTATCTCTATCT